TCAAGGAACACTCCTAAAACTTTGAAGTGCTAGAGGTTTGATCTCTTATCTTTGATGGAGAGAATTTGTGAATAAGTACAGAGAACATTGTGAACTGACATTTTTTCGCTGCGGATGCTAGGACGTTTAAGAGGTGCTGGGTTTGGTGCAGAGTCAACCCGTTCTCCACCTGAAATTGACAAGCGACCGTCGGAGGAGAACGGGTTGGCATCGAACCAAAGCTGCCCCCCCCCCCCCTTTAAATGCCCAGCATCTGCAACGAACGATATGAAGGCGTCACGCCCTCTGCAGCAAGATTGTACATGCTACAAGATCATAAGTTCAGGCTGTCAGTTCAGGTTACGTACAGTACCTGGAAATTGTGCGTGAAGTTAAAAATGTTGCGTCGTGAACCCACACAATCGGACGTAAGTACCCGCTCGCACGGCCAAGTCGCAGTATCCCACGCCAAGGATGTGGGCCACGTAATCCCGCGCCCGTTGTGTGCATATACGACCAACACAATCGATTCCACGCGCGATTTCCGCGGTACTGTATGCGCCCTGACAACCAGAACCATTGTACATGCTTGTCCGAACACTCTGGGATCTGCCCCTTAGAACTGGTAGGGCTGAACGAATGACTGTAGGGGATGTTAGTTTCCTCGTTATTGCTCCTACCACTTATAAGCGCTCTCGTCCTGGCTGTTACGACACTGGGACTAGTGACAGTCATTATACAATCCCGTTTCATCTCTTTACCATGCACAATTCTGCCAGCGGTCTTGTACGCATATCGCTCTTCTAGTAAGAGTGAGACCGTACACAGTGGGTGAACATGAGCAAATGTCATTACAACAGTCCAATTCCACTATGGCTCAGGAAAGACTTTTTCAGTCGGTCAAGCAGCTAAACCGAAAGACCGTGAATATAGACATACGGGTGAAGGAGAAAGGAAAGCAAGTTTTCCAGACATAAAATAAATGATTAAGATTTCAGCGTTGGCTAGTCCTTTGTTCAGATGGAACATACAATTCAGTCTGATTTAAAACAATGCATTTTTGCATGTGTTTTGGCCTACACAAAGGGTACTTAGACTCGGATGCCGTCTCCATACTCCGTCCACGCTGCCGTAAGGCCAGCCACACGCCTATCTACATCCAAACGCAAGACTTGTCTGCGTCCTCTCACCTTTGGTTGTTCTCTACCTCCGATCGCGTGTTTTCTGTGTTGAAATCTGGCAACGGCGCACGAAGGGCTCCTTGAGGATAGTGCGTGGGTAGACGGCCCCGTGTATCATCACTACTTCCCCCCTTCAGACCCCGTTCTCGTGCACTCGTAAGCAAAGAAAGTGACACTCTACTGCAGCCCATGCTCCTCGGTCATGGCGAGGACCGTTCTCAAAGGTGAGCTTCCTTCGAACGTTGATGAATTCGACTCGTGTATTCTCTTACTATGGTCTAGATTTTTATCGGGGGAGGGCCGAAAAAAGACTTGATGGACCTGAAGTTCCATCAAGCCTACGGGTTAAGGGACCATACGCGTACTAAATCCACCCCTGTAACTGTAAGTTATGCCTCTGTAATTTTACTTACAGAGACACGCTTAGAAAGAAAATGTCTCGGCTCAAATGTATAAGCACCAAAGTGTAGCCAAGTAGCTCCATTCCAAAAACTATCCGTCCCTCCATAATGGAATGTTGTAAAAAACATTGATCAAGAACGAGAAGAGAAGCATTCTCTGCAGGAACTTACACGGCTGGACACCCAATAGTCAGGGAATTTATAGTTCTACTCACTATAGGCCGATTCTTCGCGTTCTGCTCAAAAAATAGGAACTCCACTTTTTCACTAAGTGTGTTTCCACCAACATTTCACAACTAGCTGGCAATGTGCCAACTCATCGTATGAGCAGACGTTCCCATCCCGATAGTTGAAAGGTCACAGCTGCGATCGCGCTAAAGTCGGCACCTCTCTATGTCCCCACGACTCGCCGCTTCCATCGCCTCCGTTCGGGCCATCGTTTCCCTTCCTCATGATACATTGATCATGTCATTTCTGTGGCGTAAAGCTCTGCTGAGCGCCGGCGATTGCAATCATTAGCGGAATGGCACGGTTCGTTTACAATTCACTTCCCACTTTTTTAAAGTGCACTGCATTGCCATCATTGATTATTTCCCTGTTTCTCTGACGTGCCTTTCTTGTATCGATAGGTTTCATTTTCAATTCTTCTCAATGGCAAGTAGGTTGGCTTTGCTTTTCCACGAATCTTTCTATTATTAATTTCGATCGATTAGATCGTAATGGTTGTCATCTATGCGATTTGATGATTGATATTGACTGAGCGCTCACGGTTCCAAAAAAAACTCCATCCTTAGTTCCAACAGAAAACTGGCTTACTATTCTTAGGGAGGGGTTTCATCCAAGAGATGATATATGGCGTACGGGTCATCAGACAGTGCAGAACAAAAGGTGTGGTAACAACAGGTGGACGAAAAGATAAGCGGTTTATCGCACATTTCCGTCAATGCTCTGTGATCCCTTGGAGACGTCTCCTGTTAAAATTTCTTGGAAAAAAAGCTCTGAAAGCAGCTACACTCGCTATCCCGGGGAAGGGAGGGCGTGGCAGCGTACTTCACTCAATCAGAGTTTCTTCTTTGTCGGTTATTTCTCTTTGAGACAATTGCCGTTCTGTTTTGAATTTATGATTACAATTGTCACGGAATGGCAGTATCCCACCTGAAGCTCAGCTGTTGCCAAGTTCATATGAGGTACGCAGCCATGCCTGCTCCATCTTCAGATATGGAGTGTAAGTCACTGGCATACTCTTCTCCCATGAAGCAACTTGGCCCTCTGCTCCACAGTGCCCATCCAGGGAAGCCATTTTCTATTGCGAAAAACTCAGAGACAATTCCCGCGATCAAATGACCCCTGAAATACCTCCGTGCATCTGATAGCCAGATCTGCACCCACAGAAAGGGTACCATTTTCTTCTCACAAACTTCACACTTTCGCCTCACAAACGTGCGAGACGAAGCTGTGAGTGACGCGTGATTTCTCCTACTTATACGTTTTCAAGCTACAGGACAACTAATTACACCGCTAGTGTAAATAGTTGTCTTGTAGCTGAAAACATCGTGCGCGTGTTGGCTGCGGCGTTGTGGGACCATCTCAGGCGTTTATCGTTGGGCTGGTCACTGGTGGTTCTGCAAGGTCAGTGGCGGTTCTGTTTTTTCTAGAAAAATATTTTCGGAAACAAACGGGCAATAACACCCCAATTCCAAAGACAGGCATTTTAGCAGCGCTCAAGCTCACCAGCGTTGCAATTCCAGTAGTGCAAAAGGTCGTCGTGCATCACTTACTCTAACTTAATTTCCTCCGACAGTTCTGGAGAGCTGTTTTCGTTTGCGAGTTCCGTTCCAGTGCTTTCGTTTTTCATTTTTTTAATATTGTAAAGGATTTGTGAGCCAGGGGTTGCACGCAGGCTGCAGAGTGCCGATTTGCTAGCATGTCCAGAGAACTCGTACAATGGGGCTGTGTGACTGCCAGTAAGGGGTTTTGTTCAGGACTCTCTTGTTAGATCTATTTTGGTTATTTTCCTTCACTGAGGAGCTAATTACGGCTACTGGTTGATAAATAAACATCCACTATCCATAATGCTCGATAGCGGGAATTATTTTTTAAGCAGCGCCTGCGATTCACCATTTGCAGGTCTTATGAGTGACCTGGAAATGGTGAATGGCAGTGAGTGAAAATCATAAAATCATGTGGTTAATGGGATGATAGTGAGGGAAAAGGCTGAGCATACCGTTGAAAACGCCCTTACTAAGAACCATGGTGGCTCTGAGGTTTGTGTGAGGAACAGAGAGGCTGAGTTTCGAAAAGAGAAATCATAGCATGACCAGAAAGAATACAAATGACTGAGCCCTCACTGCGGCAGCAAAAGAAATGATAAGGGTGGATCACGGAGGCGGAGCTAAGCTGTCGTCGCTGATCCGTAGCGCTTTTATCAAGCCCTCCCGATTCGCGAAAGTGGGTCATACTCTGCGACTGTAGACTACGCCACCTTTCAGGAAAAGGGCTATTGCACGTCGGGTACCCGCGGACACTGTCTTAAAAACTTTCAGTCTCAGATAAGATGCAGTTCAAGTACTTCATGGGTACTGTTACGGTCATGCTATATTATAAGGATGAACTTCAGCGAATCGGCATCGGTAGAGGAATCATCCCCGAGGAAGTCAAGAAGAGAGGGGTCGCAATGGCCCACATGGAATCTAACAATGATGGCTCTTCTTGTGTCCATAGGTAGTACCTCCTACCTGTCTTTTGTTTCTCTTTTTTTCTATTTTCTTACGACTCTTCTTTTGCCTACTCGTTAATCCATGGTGTATGTTCAAACCCCTTCAAATTATGTTTGCACAATTCTAAAATGTTCGAAAAACAACGTCAGATGACATCTTATGGCAAAATGCTTTGCACAAGAGAATGCTCACCAGCTTACTGATTCTCAACTTACCAATTCGGCTAACGCACGCTGCCGCGCGTACCACGGTAACCCTTGTAGGGGTATGTTATCCACTTCCCGTAGAACTTTAAATGGAGACCTTGGTACATCTAGTCTCGAAATCTGGTTGTGGATAGGGCGATTGTAACTACTGCGGGGATCTCTCAAACGAGTTTTGGGTGGTCAAAACTTGCAGTAGATGCAGTTCATGTAAGAGATGCTAGCTGTGTACTGCCAGTGCCAATGTGGCCTGGGGATAGCGGTTTCGCCTCACATGCGGGAATGGGCTCGCTACCCGTTGACGAGGGGACTTTTGCGCTGTCTCTTATAGGAGTTTTCACTCAAGTTTTTGACATTCCAAGTTAACGGGCCTACAAAGAGTAGGTCAAGTGTCGGACGTGACGGATCATTATCAACTGGTCCCTTGTTAGTTGGTAGTCGGACCTCTCAATAAGGATATGCCATCCGTTTGATGCAAGAATGACCAGTCCTCCCACTATAGGAGCTGACGACAACAAAACGAAAAGTGCATAGTGCTGCTGTCATTAAAGGGAGCTTTGCGAGTTCAGCAGCGTTCAGACTTTGCGACGACGTTGGTTTACGCGCTATAATGCGCTATAATGCGCGCTGACGCGCGAAGACGCGTTGTAGAGTGCTATAAATTGTAACAGCGCCCCAGCCCTATTTGAACAGTAAACTATATCAATCAACAGTTTTATCATTTACTGACTGTCAGCGAGCAGGCAAGGGTGGTCAGTTCGCTAGACAAGCTTTCTGATTTTATGACGAGGAAGGAAGTGATGTCATTTGTGAGGTGCTTTTGAAAACCGCGTTTCTTATTAGGAAGATGGCTAGGTGAGGAACTAAATGAGGTCGCGCTTGGAAGGGGCTAGGTTAAGTCTGCGCGATTAGGACCTTAGAATTTTCCATTGCAAGCTTTAGGGTTTCGAGCTATGACATTTTCAAAACGTATGGTCCTGAGTTATAATGGATAAGTTAGACTTTGTTGAGCTGTGTATGAAGATGAAGAAATTTCTCTATTTTTCCTAGAAGTGGATTACGGTAAGACCCGCGGGTAATAATATCTTTGGGAAAAGGGAATCCCTGCTGTAAACTCGTCTAAGGTCTCACCACAACCTCAACTTCACCTTCGCACTGGGATCCAGTTGAATTTTGTGGCTTGTTCGATGGATCAGCCACTGGCCTTCCCGGGGATGGTTATCACAGTGACTCCTCGAACTAATTGCATTGCATAATTGAAAGCTGGCGTTGGGTAATTACGTCAGAAGGAAACGCTTCAAAACGCCTATTTATTCCATTCCATTTTAAACGGCACATATATTTGTATTTATTTATCAGCATATTACAGGTGGCGGCTTCAATTTCGGCTATCAGCTGCTCATCACAAATCCAGCTCAGGCAGCGTTCGTACAGTTTGTGAATGACTCCTATGCGGAGTTGCATGGTGTACGTCAGGACAAGGAAAATCTCGAGGTTGGCAGCCTTATCTAACCTCTTTTTCAATTCTGTTGAAGGCACATACCGTGATTGCAAGAGTGGTTCCAAAAAACCTGTAGGTGATAGGCAACTAATAAAAAAAAGCCAAGAAAGAGTTGAACTCGCCATAAGAAGAGCGTTCATTTAACACTCGATTTTGACCACTGTACGAAATTGTAAATGAGAGCGAGGCGCGAAGGTACTTCTTTCGCAGGCGAGAGACCAGAGGCAATAGATGAGGGAGCAGGAAGAGCCCAGCTCGTTCACCAATGGAGATTCCTGTATGGAGTAGCTACTGCTGGAGTTGGGGGTTGGTAGGGTGAATGATGATCTCAGCGCCGTCATCATTCAGTTCCGACTCGCGAAAACGGTCATCCTCTCCAAGGACCTGAACTCTACGGTGAACGGACTGTATGCTGTAAAAAGGGATTATACATATAAAATATCGCAGACTGCACCTTCAAAGACAGGGAGCACGACACACTGACCAGGAGTATAGGGTAATTAAGCCTAGTGGAAAGGCATGGGCATCCATGTTAGATGCCGTATGGAGTTGCAAAGAAGGGTGTGAGTGTGTCTAAAGGCGACCTGTCATTAACAAAACATTCTAAGCACATCTTCCCTCACAAAGCGTTTCTCCTGTACGAAGGTCCGTCACTGTCATGTCCTTCTTCTTCTTAGAGACATTTTTGATAGTGTGTGGGGGGAGACTTTTCAATAGTCGCAATTTTTTGAAGTTATGGCAATTCGCGATTATGTTGCAGTCGCCGTGAATTTCCTGCACTGATCGTTGATCAATAATGAAGTGTCTTGAATGTACGCTCATTTACTTTCTAAGGCTGCATTCATACACAGCGGCAGCGTCCACCTCCGAGCGTCCGCGTCAGCGACTAGGTAAGTATAGATATCGATCTAGCGTCAGGCAGCGTCTACCAACGACCAGTAGCGTCCGAAAGGAGAGTATGGGGCGATAGGAGGTTAGCAGACGGCTTGTTACCGCTGGTGACGCTACTAGACGCTTGGGCGGACGGATATTGATGGCGAGTGGACGCTACTGCCAATGTAGGAGTGCCAGCCTAATTGTAGGCGGTCAAACACAAGGCCTATCCGCGTTGTTTTGGCTTATTCGCTGTTCCCCTTTCCCCTGTTTAGTTCATTTTCGTTCAGCGAGCAATCTATCGATGACTATGACATCAAAATTATTTAGCACTTTATTTTTTTTATTTACCTTCGTCTTCTTCCGTGACTATATTGCCATCTTTTCAGTTCATTTGGGGCGTGATCGTGTCAACATTCTTTTGGGGAGCCACCGTTGCTGCATTACTGATCCAGATAACAGCCGATTATTTTGGTCGTAAGAATGGCATCATTGTCACCTTTGTGGCACAGATTATCGCCGTCCTCGTAGAAAGAAATCTTGAGCTTCTTTGTAAGTGGAAAGCTCGCTACTATTGAATCTCAGATCTATTTTGGCCGCAGACTTTTGGTAACCTTTTGTGGTATGTGTCAGATTTTCAGGTAGATAATTATATCATGTATTCGGTAGCTCCGGATCGCGCTCGGTGCTGCAATCAGTGTCTCGATAGGAATTGCACCGATGTACATTATTGAATGCAGGTGCGTCATTTTTCAAACTATGCTGTCGCTCTTGGAAGTGCAGATTGATTAGCGATTAGTGGCCACGATAATCTGGCTGCACAAATATGTGAAGTAGAAAGGAAAAGTCATGTGCACGCAAAGAGTGAAGTTCTTACAGTGAAACGCACACCACGGCGTCTGATAAACCATAAGAATGCAGATATTCCGCCTCCAAGAGGCCGTGTTAGGCTGCATTCATACTATGCGTCCACCAGCGACCAATAACGTCTCGAGGACTAGGAAAGTTGGTAACGATCTAGCGTCTGCCAGCGTCTACCAGCGACCAGCAGCGTTCGGGAATGGAGAGTGTGCCGAGATAGGAGGGTAGCAGACTGCTGGTAGAGTATGGCGCGATAGGAGGGTAGCAGACAGCTGGTAGAGTATGGGGAGATAGGAGGGTAGCAGACTGCTGGCAGAGAGTATGTTGCGATCGGAGGGTACCAGCTGTCTGCTACCCTCCTATGCTCGCTACGTTGGTCACCCTGATGCTCCGGTGGATAAAGGAAGGGAGCAATAGTATTCTTTTTGAGGAACGTGACGTATGTGAAAAAGAGCCGATATCTTTATGATTTGAACTAGTGAGAATTTCTCCATACGCACACTCCCTTCACGATATGCTCTCGCAGTGTTCAAAGTTGAAGGGCGTTGTTAAAGACACTTACCGCGATAAAGTGGTCCTCAAAATGAATTCGTACTGTT